TACCAAACAAAACATAAAAGATGGATAACATCAACTTAAGAGCTACTAAGTCCCATCAAAAAATGGAATGTGGGTTGAATTAGGACATATAATATTTAACTGTAGTTATTATACCTTTTATTTTTCACCAATCAAAACAAGACAAGTGTAATGATGTATATTTTATTATTTTCATGATTAACAACTATAAATAAACTAAGGTAACATCTACAACTAAATATCAACTTTCCATAGGATACTAAAGTGGTACCATAGTGTTATCTCAATGTTTAATAAAAAATTTAAAAAAGGTATTAACAAAATGGGCTTCCCTAAATTTAGGCCAAAATAGAAAAATTAATGTTCTAATAAATTGAAAAAAAAATTTACAAATTTTTTGGAGAGGAATAATTGTTATAATCATGAATACTTTTGAGTTATGATCATAATTTTGATTTGATTTAACAAAAAAAAGACAGTCTAGTACATAAGTCTTCTCTTACTGCATATTCTAAGAAGAGCAAAAAGTATATAACTTACTTTGCGTAAAAAAAACAACAATATCTTTCCGCAGATGAATGAATAAAAACCGCTTTAATTAACAATATTTTGTCAAAATGCTAAGATTTCAATCATCATTTATGTAAAAACTATGGATAACTCATGTCTAAAGGCACAGTGCAACGTAAGTGAAAAGCGATGAATTTGAGAAATGAGAGAAAAATTTAATGTAAATAATTTTAAAAAAGATGTTAGTGGTAGTTAGATGAGTCTATTTAATACTATCGATGGTCTTATAGAAGTCTATTATTTTTCATATTATAGATTAATTTGAAATGTTGAAACCAAATATCCAACTTGAACTGGTCGTGCAGTGTTTAAGACAACACAATTTTATAAACAATTTGAAATAAATAAGCAAAATTATAATAAAAAAAAGAGATATGAACACGATCGCACAATAGTACAGTGATTGCCAGTACAAGAATTTTGTACCACATACTATTTATTTGTAATCTATGTTATATCTTATTCACGAATTGATTCGGGGTGGTCCTTACTTTGACAGATCAAACAACCCCTGCCGTTGATTTAATACAATCTGTTTGAGGGACCACCGGACCATAGTATAATATGGTTAAGAAATAATTCAATTGGCAGTTAGCAGTGTGGTCCTGCATAGAATAGCGCCATCTCTAGTACAGTCAACGTTGTCCAGCTTTGATTAGCGATCACGCGATCATGGATCTCAATTCTCTCAAATATGTATTTTTTTTTTTTTTATAATAAGAATTGTAACTTGGACTATCGGAATTTAATTTGAGACAACACGAGATATTTATTATTTAGTGATTTTTAGAATGTGGGTTAGGCTTGGATTAAAAAAACCTAACACGGTGCATAATTCAAGTTCAATCTTAAGTTTTTAAGATCCAATCCAAATTAGTGAATTCGGTCTTGACAATAAATTTTGAGATTAGTTCAGTGATTGGAGAATCAAAATCAAATTAACCAGGATTTTCAACTAAAATTGAATTTAAATATCACTAAAAAACCCTTAACTTGAATTTCAACTATAGTTACATTATTCAAATTCTAAAATTAAGCACCAAATTATTCAATTTTTGAGATTTNTTTGACAATAAATTTTGAGATTAGTTCAGTGACTCGAGAATCAAAATCAAATTAACCAGGATTTTCAACTAAAATTGAATTTAAATATCACTAAAAAAACCCTTAACTTGAATTTCAACTATAGTTACATTATTCAAATTCTAAAATTAAGCACCAAATTATTCAATTTTTGAGATTTGGGAAAAATCATATTCAAATTGAGAATTTTATAACTTGNACTTGAATTTCAACTATAGTTACATTATTCAAATTCTAAAATTAAGCACCAAATTATTCAATTTTTGAGATTTGGGAAAAATCATATTCAAATTGAGAATTTTATAACTTGGATTGAGCTAGAATTAACCTTTTAACTCGTTCAACTCTTCCGAATTATGAGTTACACTGTCGTACATAGTATGTTCTAGTTAAATTTATATTGATGAATCTATTATCAAAAGAAAATATAAAGAGAATATAACATTGTATTCAAATATCCAGGCTACGATATATCCGTCCTATTTTTGGCTGGTTAGAACCTATATGCAACTGCCAGGGGGAACCAGTCATAGACCTTTTTTTTTCTGTGTCTTTATNTGGTTAGAACCTATATGCAACTGCCAGGGGGAACCAGTCATAGACCTTTTTTTTTCTGTGTCTTTATATATATAACAATTTAGCAAATATTAGGCGTAACGGTTATCCTACGTTAATAATGTTACATAGTATAACGTGGTTCATTAGTAAGTGAAAAAGTCTGCAAGTGAGACTCACAAAAATCCATAATCACTCAAACCGGTAAGGTAGTAGGCTCCATTTTATCTATTTTGTAATTTTTTTTATTGGATGATTATATCACATGACATTGCTGATGTGGNCACTCAAACCGGTAAGGTAGTAGGCTCCATTTTATCTATTTTGTAATTTTTTTTATTGGATGACTATATCACATGACATTGCTGATGTGGTATAACTGTTACACCTAATATTTTTTTTTGTTTTTTGGTTCAACGGTTAAGGGTGTTTAGACTAATTTTCACGCACCTCGGCCAATTCTCTATCCTGTTCGATCAAAGGTAGACCATCCACGCCGAATTTAAAATATTTATAAGAAATAAATATGTTATTACCTAACTCTAAAGAATTACCAAAATCAAACTCAAAACATTAAATTTATAACTCTGTCTTTTATTATCATTTGAATTAACCCATAGAGTTATTACACTCAATATTTACTCATAATTATTGGCCACCTTTTTCTTAGGTGCAAAGAAACAAATTGGCACATTGAATGAGATTGGTCTTGTATTTTTGTGCAAGTGGCTTTGTATTATTGTCCCACTTTCATGGTCACTAAATGCAGCCACCTACAATTCCTGATTTTGTGAGTTCACATTTAAACATGTGACTTTTTTTTTTCTGGTCAATTTACTATGTTCCAACCTACCTAGGCATTAATGATTAGTTACAAAAGGTTTAAACTCTTTTGAATTCAAAGTCAGTTTTGATGGTTAGGGTCTTACCCTTCTAATTTACTAGTCTGGAAATTGGAGGTGACGTGTGGTGTCGAATTTATTGACTTTCATACGAGGCTAAAAGCCTCGTTCTCTTTCAAAGATCATGAATTTGAACTTGTTTCCGATAGAACTAGATATTACTGAAGGAGATGAATGTCTAGTTTGCCTTCGATAGTGTTATAGTGATAAACTCAACCATCTCATATTAATAACTATGATTTAAATCAAACATTTTACAACAGCTAAAAATCTCAAGATAACGTCATAACTCATAAGGAATTGTTTACGTCAAATCACTCTTGACCACCTTTTTGCACAATTAAAAAAAAAAAATTAACCAAAAACAAGAGTTATGCATATGAAGAGTCTACCCTTAAATTTTTTTTTCTTAACATTATTTAAATGTATTTTTAAATATTTTTTTAATATTTTTAAATACGCCCACCCTATTTTTTTGGCACATCAATTAGTGTACACTTATATTAAATGAATATAAATTTTTTGACACATTTTGAACAACTTGTATAACTATCTAGATAAATTTTGAATATACTAGAATTATTTTATACTTTTTAAGACTAAAAAAAATGATATACATTCGCCAGTTTGCTTGTAATTTTGACATTTATTTTACAAATTATGACAAAAATTATAGAGTGCATATTAAACTACATAATTGATCGAATGATTTATAAATATCAAAATAATAACATAATTGTATATATAAAGAATAATAAAGAAAAAAACTATAAGTCAAATGGCATGTAAAAGTACAAATACATAACAACGCTCATTCTAATAAGTGACATGTTTGAATCTGAAAATCGACCTCAAGTAAAACTATTTATAATTAATCTCTCTAGGCTCGTTACAAATGAGAATTTGATGTATTGGTTATGATTATTTTAGCAAATTTAGCAAATAAAATTTGGGAATTAAGAGGTTGATTATAGAAAAGCTAATGCTCTCTTTGATAAAAAGGACGAAAAATAAGAAGGATGAAAAGTAGGAAAAATATATTTTTTATCTTTCAAAGATGGAAAGTAGAAATGATACATTTTTCTTTTTTTGTGTTTGGTTGGATGGATGAAAAGTAAAAAATGACTAATTTTTTTTTTAATTTTTTTTTTGTGTTGGCTAAGAATAATTGAGTCGTGTCAAATTTGTGTTGAGTCATAAAATTATGAGCCTTTTATATTTCTTGTTTGAATGTCGGTCACTTTCAAGTTTGTGTCGAGTTATAATCAAGTTTGTGTCATAAAACTCGTGTCGAGTTCGAGTTGTGTTATTGTGTTGAGTCAAAAATTTTCTCCCCTAGTTAAAAATGAAAAAAATATTTTTTAAAATTAAAATTAAAAATTTTATTTTATTATTTTATTTTTAAATTTATTTTTAATTTTTTTAAATATATTTATATATATATATAAATAAATATATTTTTTATTATTATATTTTTATATGAAATTAATGTATACATAATATATAGACAAATAAGATATATCTCAACACAGATAATTAACTTTTCATCTACTTTTCTTCTGATTTTAGAGAGATTGTTTTTGGTGAATTGGAAAGAAAGTTAATTCTTCCACTTTTCTATCATTCCTATTTTTTTTCTTTACCAAACATAATATTTTATTTATCTTTCTAATTTTTTTTTATTTTAATTTTTTACCCTTCTATTTTTTTAATCCTACCGAATGAAGTATAAGAAAATAGTAGTATAATGTATAGAGGTAGTTAAGTTGTGAACATTGGAGCAAGTGTAAAAGTATAACAAACAATTAACAAACATACGTTCACACAGTTTCCACGTCGGGTCTCTTCTTATTTTAGTTACATTGCCCGAAACGGCCTGTTAGTCATTCCCACCTCTCTCTCTCTCTCTCTCACACACACACACATTTACTCCCCCTCCACCTGTTCTTCTCTTCCGGCCCCAACAAACTCCCTCTCCCTCTCTCTCTCTCTCTCTCTCTCCATGCCAAACAATAAGCCGTTATATATATTTTCACCACCATGGCTCATCTCTCTCTCTATGCCCTTGAAATGCAACTCATCTAAGCTTCTGTCTCAAGCCTCACTTTAATCTCTTCCTTTACAATCTCTCTCTCTCTCTTGAGTTCTGTGTATTAATCCTTCACTGAACTCAAATTCTCTGTTCCGATCTCTATCCTCTTTCTTTCTCTGCAACTGTTTCAGTCTGATCTCCTGATACTGCGATTCTCTAGGTTTCTACGATTTGGAGCTTCGATCAATGCTTTGTAGTAAGTTTGTAGCCACTCCATTCTAACAATCAATCTCTGAAGCTCAACACGTACACACACAGAAAGATGTTCGATCTCAATGTTGCTATAGTCTCTGTTGATTTAACTGAAACGAAGATCACAGCTGAGAATCTTCCAGAAGAAGCCAAAACTCAAACCGATGATTCCGAGACTTCGATTTCCTCCATCGTCAACGCCGACGAATCTCCAACCAATGCTGCCGACGAATACTCGAGCTCCACTCACAGCAAGCCCCCAAACTCCATCTTTACTCTCGATTTCGGTGGTATCTTAAACAAAAACAAGGGAAATAGTATTATTGGAATCAAAGATGGATGCAATGGGAATTTGGCCTTGGAGATTGTTACGAAGCAGCTTTTGCCGGTGGCCGGAGAGTTTGGTTCCGGATCTTCGTCCGCGATGTCGTTGTTGAGGCCTCAGTGGTTGAATCTATCGGTTTCGGAGTCAAATGGAGGATCGGCGTTGGGGATTTGGCAGCAGCAAAAGCAGCAGGTGAAGAAGAGCCGACGGGGACCGAGGTCTCGGAGCTCACAGTATCGTGGCGTCACGTTTTATCGGAGGACTGGTCGATGGGAATCACACATCTGGTATGTATTATTCGTTTATTCACTTATTGTTATGTGTGACTTTGGGAATTAGCCTCTGTTACTATTCCTTTTGCTTGTGTGAGTGTGAGAGAGAGAGAAAGAGAGAAAGAACAAGTAGAACTCATGACCAAGGTGATACCTACATGGAATAGTGTGTGCGTTTGCATGCATTCTGGTATAAATGTTCACAATTGTGCATGAATTTGTAAATAAGTTCATGTGTGTGTATGTGTTTTTGTGGAATATATGGTACTTAAATTTATGAGTGGGTGATATGGAATTAAAGGAACAGTACAAACCATCTAATGACTGGTCCTTTGTTGCCTGGTTATAACCGAAGTTTGTGTTTGTGTTCATGAACAGGGATTGTGGGAAACAAGTGTATTTGGGTGAGTCTCAATTTGATTTACCTTACTGAAACGTTTAATTTCCTGGGGAGATTTTGCCTGAAAGTACATCAACGAATGTTGTTAATTTGGGTAAATTCTGTGTTGGGTTAACTAGGTGGATTTGATACTGCTCATGCTGCAGCCAGGTGTGTATTTGTTTTCGAGTGAACTAACATTTTCCATGCTTTGATTTGATTTTCTTGTGTGAATTTTACTTGATTTGGAAAATAATGATTCATGGTTCAGAGCCTATGATCGGGCTGCAATTAAGTTTCGGGGAGTTGATGCTGACATCAACTTCAACATAAGCGATTATGAAGAAGATATGAAACAGGTGGATAGTTTGAAATATTATTTGCCACTAGCTTCACCTTGTGTGGTTTTTATTGTATGTATTTTAATCCAATTGATCTGCAGATGAAGGACTTGACAAAAGAAGAATTTGTTCATATTCTTCGTCGCCATAGCACTGGATTCTCACGCGGAAGCTCGAAATACAGAGGAGTAACGCTGCACAAGTGTGGTCGATGGGAGGCTCGTATGGGTCAATTCCTTGGAAAGAAGTAAGAAACCCTTATTGATCAGCAATTCTTAAACCATATTACTTTTCGATGTCACTATCAGTCGGTTAAAAGTTGTTACATGTTGTCATGAACTCCAATATGGTTTTTTCAGAACTTATTACTGTGTTGTTTCCCTCTCCATAGTAAGTCGAGGATGGTTATTTCAAAGGAAAAATCCTTAGGACCCCCTTTTATCAATAAGATTACAATGCTTGGTTGCAGGTACATGTACCTTGGGTTATTCGACAGCGAAGTAGAAGCTGCAAGGTCCCTTTGAATATGATTCTACTCCTTGAGACTGAATGTCTCAATCTGAAATCTCTCATTTTTATTCGGCTTCAATCAACAAAATCTCCATTTTCATTTTCTGATCCAGGGCTTATGACAAAGCAGCCATCAAATGCAATGGAAGGGGAGCAGTCACTAACTTTGAGCCTAGTACCTATGGAGGGCAGATAAGTTTGGATTCCATTGGTGGAGGTACTATTTCATTATTCTATCTGTGATGTATCGCATCTGAAGTGATTCTTGATATGATAGAACCAACAAATTCTCTGTTAAATGCTGTGCAAAAATGAACGCAGGCAGTGATTGCAACCTTGACCTGAACCTGGGAATTTCTCCCCCTTCAGATTGTCCAAAGGGGAATGAAAATGTCAGTAATTTGGACTTCCACTGTGCAGCTTGTGAATTGCCTTGTGGAAAAAAACCAAAGGTATTCTTCAATTAAAAGATGAAAAGCTTTATCTTGGTCCCATCCGCTTTCCCTCTCTCTCTAATATACTTTGGGATTTAAGATTTTCATGACTTGATCTCTTTGTGGGAAATTTAAGTGACTTCTATACAAGATGATGTTTAAATGTCTCCACTTTAGCCACAAAAATCTTTTTCTGCTGCCAATTTTAGAAGTTTTAGGAAAAGAGTTCTGTATTTCTTCACTTATATTTTTGAATGCCTATTACCATTTCCAATCCACTGTTTCCCCAGTCGACAACATTATGGTTATCTTAAAGCTGCGAATAACGGTTCAATGGCATTTCCTTTGATTGACCAGCTTCAGAGCTCTACTTCTGCTGCTAAATGTGGGCAAACTCCTCATGCTCTAACAACAGAGGTATCCAAGCACCCTCCTACATGGTCTAATGTGTATTCTGGTTTCTCACCACACTACGAGGTGACTATTTTTAATTTGTTACCCACTTATGGCATCATTTACCACGTTCCTGAATTCAGTCTGTTACGTTAAGTGTCAGAGTTTAATTTCTTGGATTCAAATTCAATTATATGGATTTTCTTCCAGTTCCTAGAAAGAAGATTTGCAAAGAAAAAATGATGACAATTCATCTTGTCTTGAACAGGAAAGTGCAATGGGAAAGAGGAGTGAAGCCATTTCTTTGCCAGGATTAGCACACTGGGCATGGCAAATGAAAAACCATGGCGTTGTCACCCCGGTTCCACAGTTTTGTGTTGCAGCATCATCAGGATTCTCTTCTAAAACCACAGCCATTATGGAAAACCCTTCTTCCACCAGACACACCATAAAAGACTGCTCACCATCACTACCACCCAACGCCGCACATGCCCTCCAACGTACCTCCCAGTACTACAATCACAGGAGCTAAAGCATCATTAGTGCAGCAACTTGCCTCCATTATGCTTGGAGGTAAGCTGGGCAAGCAAGCCACTCCAATTGGATTAGTGTAGGTGTTTCATTTCTATTTTGTGTGTGTGGTATATAATATGAAACATAAATTCAGCATACATATGATATTGGTGTATAGATTGATATAATGCTCCGAACCTGCTACCTTAAGTATCATTTTACCTTCATATCTTACCCTCCTCCTTTTGGCAACTGGGCCATGCCATGGGGCAGATAGATTTAAGAGTTTGCAAGTCTGGGTGGTTTTCTTTATCTACTATGGGAAGAAAATGTTTTCTGCACTGGGTAGACCATGTCAAAGTATAGACTGTATAGTGGTGTGCCATGGCATGCTATGACTTGTTATAACAATATTTGTGAGCACAGCAATGATGAAGAGTGAGTAAGCTGAATTTTTTTTTAACACAATTGTCAACTCAATATTGAATTTGACATGGAGTTATTGAGTGGGTTTAAGAGTTTGGATCATAACTGTATTCGCTGGTTATACATGTTTAGTAAATGGATCGAATCTATCTATATATATATATATGTATACCCAACCATGGTTACCACAATTCACTAAACTCTTAACGACCCACGATCTGTGTATATCAATTCGAAATGTGATGGGTTCGCGATCCAGATAATCAAAATTGACAACCCTAATTTACAATATTAACTCTAAATCAATTCGTTTTAAAACATGTAGTACAAATATAAAATATATATTAATTGACTATATATATATAGATTTATAATTATATATTATTTTAGAAAATAGAAAATCAAACACAATTATAAATTAAATGGTAATTAACTTAGTCTTGATGAATATTTTGTAATATATAATGTTGTATAGTAGTGAAAACGATCTACAAAAGAGTTTCAAAACAAATTACGACCCAAAATACCATACCTGCTAAATCTATCCCTATTATACCACGTACCTAAAAATGTGTCGTATCATGTATTCGTACTTGTACCACGTATTAAAGCATCTCACGATCCAGGTAACATTGTACCCAACTACAAAAATAAATACACGAGATATTATAAGTTGTATAAATTTTGGTATCATTTAAACACGATACAAACTTGATATGAAATGATGAATTATTAGTCCTAAAGGTGAGCGTTGGAATTGGCCTGAACTACTTCGTTTGTATTAGAAAATACACCATCATTTGCANATGATGAATTATTAGTCCTAAAGGTGAGCGTTGGAATTGGCCTGAACTACTTCGTTTGTATTAGAAAATACACCATCATTTGCAATGTCAAATTCCATTTACATACTGAAAATCTGAAACAAAGGATATGTTGTTTTGAACCTCCCTAAGCTTTATGATGTTCATGGGATTCACAATAACAAGGCTGCCGAGGAATTGGAGGACAGTATGATGCTCCTATTCACCAACTTCAATATTGTTGCCAGTGTGAATTGTCCAGCACTGAGAAATCACGAACCCTTGTGGGTTAGTGGTATCACCTATGACTCTCCCTGTGGGTGGTCAGGCCACGACGGATTTAGGGGCGGGTAGAGGCAATCGCAACCTTAGATTTTGGTGGCGATGGAACTGGAAATATGGGGGCCAAAGTCTTTGCCTCATTGAACTTGGTTGTGAAGCATTAGTAGGCCTAAGTTGTAAGTCTGGGTTGGGTTATTCAACCCATTTGTTTGTTCACCTCGACCAATAACCAGTATGGCAGGATCAGTGAAATCCACATCACTAGTGTTGCTAACATTTCCTGTTGAGGGTGGTCGATAATGGTTTTTTGGCAAAGAAGCCTTAAACAAATAATGATTCCCTAAAAAGCAAAGCATTCCAAACACAAATAAATCAACCATATAATCATCCAACCAAGGGGNGGCAAAGAAGCCTTAAACAAATAATGATTCCCTAAAAAGCAAAGCATTCCAAACACAAATAAATCAACCATATAATCATCCAACCAAGGGGAGAGAGAGAGAGAGAGAGAGAGAGAGATCCATTAATCCTACATAATGTATTTTTATTGAATGATAATATCTCTTGTCATCAATGGTGTGAGATCACTATTGTAATGAATATTTTTTTAAAAAAACGAATACTTTATCGTTGTGGTCTAANTATCTCTTGTCATCAATGGTGTGAGATCACTATTGTAATGAATATTTTTTTAAAAAAACGAATACTTTATCGTTGTGGTCTAAAAAAATATCAGCATTGCCAAATTCGGATGCCCCGCCCCCCAAGCCAAACATCATGGGGTAGTGTAGTATATCAATACAAATATTAATGATAATCGTATTATTTTTCATACTTCAAAAGATTCATCAGTGAGTTGATTTAATTTATCCTTTTTTTAGAATTATAAATATTAGAAGTAGTGAAGTTGATTGTCAAGTTTGTGTTTGCATTAGTCAATCATGATGTAATTAATCTAATTAATAAAACATATGTATTAATCATACCTCGATATAATATTGATTAAATATTTACCTAATTAAAATGATTAATTTGTCAACTGTTTTGATTCTAATCCGATTAATTTACTAATTATGTCATTTTTGCATTAAAATATATATAAACCATAAATTAACGATATGAGATCAAGATTTTTCTCTCTCAATCAAATTCATAAACTTCACATAAATAAATATCAACTCAATCTACTTGTTAACAAAGAAAAAAAAATTAAAACTTCTAGTTTTATAAGTGTTCATTGTTCTACCAAGAAAAAAATGTACGATTCGTCAACTATACTAATTAGTTTTAAATTATTTAGTTGACTTTCTCTAATTGAATTCCAACATGTGATTTATGTAATCATTTTAATTTTATAATAATTACTTCACATTTAATTATTTTTGTTATTCTTATTAACTACTTTGCATTTATGTTTTTGATAAATATTTAGCACATTAATTAATTATTTTTGATAATGTTAGAATGAGAGAGAGGGGGTGTGGATAATGATATTATAAAATTTGGATTTTGTTCATCTCATCAAAGCGATCGTCAGTTTAGTATTAATCTAATTTTTTCATNATTTTGTTCATCTCATCAAAGCGATCGTCAGTTTATTATTAATCTAATTTTTTCATTTGTTTTTGACAAGTTTACGGGGAAATCTCATTTTGTACTTTAAAATATTTTAAGTTTTTTATTTTTAAAAATTAAATTTTTTATATTGCGACTTTAATGTTTTAAAAGTGTTACAATGTGGTTTTTTTGTTAATTTATGTTGTTTATTCTGTCAAAAACCTGTCTCATTGACTTTGATCGAATGAGTAGCGAAAATTTATAAAAAAGAGTTGTTGTGTGAGCTGATTTCTCCACAATAAATAAATAAAAACATCTATCTTCCTTGATGAAACTCGTGTTTACCTCGAAGGTCAATGATCCGGTGGCAAAGGAACAACCAAAAGTAACCTAAAGAGTGGTGATGAATCGATCCGGTGGCAAAGGGAGGCCCAAGGAGGCCTAAGGATTAGTGATGAATTGTTCTTCCAGTTGTCCGATCGATTTCGCCGTGCAGGAGTATTTTCTGGCATATCTTGACACTCAAAGGAGGGGTTAGAAAGGGCGTCGGAGTGTTTTCAGCGAATCCCCTCCAATGATTAAATCAATTCTTTGAGAAAAGCGAAAAAAAAAAANTTTGCATGGAAGATGTTCTAGTATTAACTGTTCGGGCTCCCAATCAGTTAATACTCTTTTTTTGACGTGAAAACTTTAAATGCTACGAGCCCAAGACATTTAATACCCCACATTCTTGACTTTCCAAGCCATTGTCAACTTCCCATCACTTAGAATTCATTAAATGCTTGTTTGGGATAGCCGTAAATCAGTAAGGGTAGTTTTGCCTTTTCACCCCTTATTCTGCACCTTATGCCACGCGTCGAACTCCCCCTGGTTGTGTGTCAAGTTTGCTATGCTATTCTGATTTCATTGTGTAGAGTGTCCTCATGATTCCTACTCTAACTTAGTATACTCAGCTGTTCAATAGTAGCTCCTCTCTAGAAGCTGAAGATTTGTGGCAAGATCGAGGTCTGTGAGTTCCCTCGGGGCGGAGGACACTTGACACCTCTAGAAAGGAGGTACCTTTGGAGCCAAGGTCACATACTTTGGCGTCGAGGAATATGTCAATAGAGTAGGGATTTTGGTGCCGAGAACACGTAGTCTCGCCAGAGGCAAGAATGTATATCGACGTCGAGGACATGCAACACATGTCGTCGATCTAATGCCCTTCAAGAGTGTCCCATCAATTGTCTTATAATATATTGAGGGTAAAATATAAAAAATTTAATCATCGAATATACAATTTTTTTTTAAATCTTTCGGTGTATAAACTATAAAGTATAATGGACTAATCTCAACTTGTACCTTGAAAAATCACTCAAATTTTAATTTATACTTTCAAAGTTTAAAAATATTAATTTATACCTTAAAAAACATAAATTCGTATCAATGTATACTTGGAGTTAACTCTATTTATTTTACTGTTAAAAAATTTGGCCTAATTATAAATTGTACCCTCAAAGTTTAAATATCATATTTATGATCCAAAAAAAAATTTCATAAATTATTATTCGTTAAATAGCTCTCTATTGTATCGTGTCATAATATTTTCGTGTCATGTTTGAGTCAATAAAAAGATATTTTTAAAATTTTAAAAAAATACCTATTTTTTGTCTATAATATTTTTTAAATAATTATTTTATGTCTATAGTTAGACACATATTTTTTGATTGTCCGATCAAATTAAAGTTAGATAGGAATAACATAAGTGTAGATAAAAAATAGTTATTTAATGAATATTATATGTTAAAAATAGGTATTTTTTAAATTTTAAAAAATATTAAATAGTATTGTATGAATTGTCGTAAATGTGAAATATATTACATATGATACAACACCACTGATTCGACATAAAAATATTTTTTGTGCTAAATATTTTTTTTATTGACTCGAACACGATACAAAAATGTTATGATATCGTACAATTGAAAACTACTTAACGAACATTAATCGATGAAATTTTTTTTCGATCATAAAGATAACATATTTAAAATTTGAGAGTTATAATTTATAATTAGCTTGAACTTTTTTATCGGCAAAATAAAGAGCAGTTAGTCTCAGGTGTATATTAATACGTATTTATATTTTTTAAAATATAAATTAATATTTTTAAATTTTAAAGGTATAAATTAAACTTTGAAGTTACAAATTGAGATTAATCCAAGGGTTTAATTTTCTGGTCACTGTATGTCAAAATTCACGATCTTACAAAGGTTTAACGAAGCAGCTGTGGCTGAAACCAGTCCCCGTTTCAACCACTGATTCGCCGGCGAACCCTAAGAATGCTCCGATGAGGTTGCCGATACACCACCGTCACATGAAGACTATTCTCTCACTTCCCTCTCTCTCTTCTCCAACACCTTCGACAACACTACCATTTCAAGCATTACGAACTCTATTCACACTCCCAAACCCTAGTAAGACCTCTCTCCTCCACTCACCACCACCAACGCGGTCTCGCAATTTCCCGTTATCGTTTCCTGAAACCCTAATTGTTCGCCACTATTCTTGTTTGTATTCGTCANTTACGAACTCTATTCACACTCCCAAACCCTAGTAAGACCTCTCTCCTCCACTCACCCCCACCAACGCGGTCTCGCAATTTCCCGTTATCGTTTCCTGAAACCCTAATTGTTCGCCACTATTCTTGTTTGTATTCGTTAAGAGCGATTCACAGTTACAGTTTTGGCTGCTCCAATTTGAGATTGGTCATTGCGAAATGTATTTCGTCGATATCATCGGCGCATGTGGAGTGGAACGAGCCAATTTCGTGCTCCGAGGTTGGGGACGGTGACCATGAAAATGGAGGTGTCACTGACGAGGATGACAAGCTCTCTATGCCAGTTAGGGCTTATTTCTTTTCCACCAGGTTCGATTCTCATGCGCATTACTTTTATTTTTTGCTTGAATTTACCTTAAAAAAAATATGATTTTGCTTTTTGGGATTTTTTTTTTAAGATAAAATAAAAGGACCTTTGTTTTTGTATTTTGTTTTCAAATCCTTAAAATATTATGGTCTGTATTATATTGATTTTTTTCTTGGTGTAGTGTGGATTTGAGGAGTTTAGTGGAGCACAACAAACAGAATTTCATCCCGCCCACATCTCGGATGACTAATTATGTTGTACTAAGATTTGGCAACGCAAACTCTGAGCCTAATGTGAGTTTTTTTTTCCTCTCTTCCTTTAGTTTGAATAGTTCTTTCTATGATCGATTGCATTTTGACCTTCATTCGAAGGAGTATTGATGAGTTGAATATTAAATTTGGGATCGAATTGAACTGCCAGCAAGTGCCAAGGCTATGCCTTGTGCATATTTTCAAGTGGAATGCTTTTGAGTTGTTTTAAGAAATGTAAGCATGTTGTTGACCCCACACCATATGCCTAGTTGAATTTTTATCAATGATAGGAGAATTTATAGCTTTTTTTTTATAGTTTTAGTATGTATATACTGTGTCAGTATACAACTTACTAATCTGAAACATGGGTATTTGTTAATCTGTTGCTAGAAGGAATAATTTTCAACTCACATGGCATGGGACGACACTTTGACATTATTGCTGTAGTGGAGGCAAACTAGAGTATGTGAGTTCTTAGAGATTGGATTCATCAGCCAAGTTGGGACACTAGTTTAATCAAATAGCACTTTCTAATTTTGATCAACCTTAACTAGGAATACAGATTCTTAGGCATGTAGCAAGAAAAGGCTGCATACGTTTATCCCTCCACTACCCGTTACAAGAAGCTCGTGAACTAGGCCACCGGTTTTGCGATTTTAGTTCACAAGTAATGGTCCTGAGATCATTGAGAATGATCTTTCACCTCGCATATATTTATATTAGCTCTGTTACCCAGTAGTTGATGCTACCAAGAGAATGTGAAATCCTGTTTCTTAAGCTTTTGGTACACCCTATAGCTCTTGGTACATTAGCCTCTTATGTTGCCACTAAATGTGGTGGGGAAAGAGATTGAGATGGTGGAATTATGTGGTTTAATGATGGTGATTGGTTGGTTTTAGTTGAAGAGAAGTAGGGCATTGTAATGGTGGAGAATCTGGAGATGATTGCTTGAGATGTCACTATACTGTGACCATGGTATTGTTAAGAGTTTGGGTCACAAAGAAAGAGAAAAAACCAACCTTTAAAAGAGTGGAGCTACAGACAGAGATGGAGAGAGGAACATAGGTTGAGTGAGAGAGAGAAAGAGGAGAAGGGAGTTGAAGGAAGGAGGGAAAATTACTAGGAGGTTGTCGTAGAAGAAAAAAGGTTGGGAAAGAGGCAAACAAAGTGGGAATGTAGAATTAGAAATTAGAAGAATAGAACAGGAAAGTGCTTCATTTACTTTTGTAGGAGGTCTATGGCAAGACCTCATTAAATGTATAGTCAAGAGTCGTGAGAAACCAATGTTTTGGTTTTATGGAGACAACCTATAAATTATTTTTTCTTGTTTTTCTAGTTTTGTGGTCAAATTTGGAATTGCTTTTGGGGAAAAAAATCCCAATCATGTTTTTATTTTTTGGTTTCACAATTTTGAAAACAAAATGCAGGAAAAGAAACAGTAAACAAACAAGCCCTTATTAACCTGAAAATTTATGTGCCTTTCCCTGTTGCAGAAATGATGATTCTTTGAAAAGATGGTTTGACTTTACACAGTTTATTTCCTTCATAATTAAGCCCTGAACTTGATAGGATAGATGAAAGTTCTTGATGAGATCCACTTGATCCTTGAATTTAATTAAGGATGTGGCTGGGTTTGGGAACAAAATAAGTTGACAAGGTGTTACAAAACAATTGAATGTTTTCTAAACCTGCCGTTACTGGTCTGCCTTCTACTCAGCAACTAATGGATGATGGATCTAGTAATCATTGGAATGGATTAGTTGGATGGTTCTTTGTAAGCTTTCATATAAGATCTGTCAGACAAAGCAAATTCAGCCTTGAATAAATCTATCTCATTGTGTCCCACTAGAGATGCAATGGTTTGATCCCATGTCCTTGTTTGAATGCAGTGTGATAAAGTATCTGATTTGATTAGGCAACTTTTGTGTACATTCTACCTTATCTGCATCTGCCTATGCAGGAGCCTTGAAAGCCACATATGTATACACACAATATTTTTTTCTGAAAGCCTTTTGATGTTCCTTGTCTCAGGGTTTGGGTGCTAGTTTAAGTGGAAGCGACTGCTGTTACATGGTAGTATTCCAGTATGGCTCAATTGTCTTGTTTAATGTTCATGATCATGAGGTTGATGGGTATCTGAAAATTGTAGAAAGATGTGCTTCAGGATTGCTCCCTGAGATGAGAAGAGATGGTAAACTCTTATTTACAGAGTTCATGTTGATGAGTTAGTTCAAAGTTTTTAATGTTTATTGTCAATTCCTTTAGATATTTCCTTTTGATATGATGCACTGTACATGGTTATTATTTGATATATGACATACCAAATTAACAATGTTGAAAATGAAATTATACTTCTTCACAAGCACAGGATGAAGATTTTGGTAGGACTGCCTATGAGTTATAATATAAGAATATAATTGCCTTAGTGTGGTATCGCTATGATTAGTTCAACAAAAGAAGGTTTATGTACACCCTCCTAATTATTATACTACACGATAATAATGGAATTGGAAAATAGGGTGTTGCTTTGGTTTCCTAGTGTCTTATGTGGATGTAGGACATTATCTATGGAAATACACTTTTGAATGTGATATCTGTCTTCTCACTGGGACAAATCCACCCCTTCCCTACCCTCAAAATTCAGAACACCCTTTTCTCTTTTACCCCTTAAACCTCCCAAACTTGAAGAGAAGAACAAGAAGAAGACACGAGTAACCGTTTAGTATTTGTTGGTGAAACATAGTCCAATGTTTGGGAAGGCTTGGAATTTTCAGTGGTTCATATGGCATCCTAGAGAGTTCACAAGACTGGCATTTTCTCATTAAATTTTAGTTGCTTCTGAAATACCCTTTTTTTCTTTCCCCTTTTAGAAGAGATTTTGATTTGCTGGACATAGGGTGGTTTGCAACATTTTACACTAATTAATTGCTTATTTCGGCCAATATTTAGTATGTGTCCCTTGCTAAATTTAAAAATACTCTTGCTTCTATAGCTGAATATGCTTCTCCTCCTTCATCAGTTGCTGACTGTGCTGCTCTGTGAGCATGTCATTCATTTTTGTTACATGATGTACTTAGAAGATTGCCGTGCCCAGGAGAAAGATGATTGCTTCAGTGGGTTGATCCATTTTGGTCCTTGGCAATTTGGCAGTTAAAGTTTTTGACTCATTGGTGTAGCCTTTTTCCACACATTTCACTACATCCTTAATTTGTTTTTTCACTTTGTTTTGAAGAGTGTCCGATATATTGTCCCTTCTAATCTGGGTGTCTCCTGTTTTTGTCCTCAAACTTGATGGCAAGTAAAGTACAGCTTTGTTGAGGGAGAACACTTTTCTCTTTCTTTCTGTTTCATCGCTGGCATCATAGAGTTACTATAGAATCGCCTCTAATGGGACTTGTTCAATGTTCCTATTTCTTAATATGTTATTGCACATCATAAGTCATGTATCTGTAATACAATATTTCTTTTATATCATCAATTCCTCCATTATCTTCCTTTAGTTGAGGCTTGTCATACACTGTACTTCCACAATAAACAGGAGTGCTGCTTAAATTGCTTCTTTTTTCCATCTTTCAGTTGACTGCCAGTTCAAAAGTACTTGAAACTTTTAATTGACTGAACTTCATTTTCTGTTTGGAAATTAGAGTATGAGGTGAGGGAGAAACCGACTTTAAATACATGGATGCAAGGTGGATTAGATCACATAATGTTGCAGTACTTGAATATTGATGGGATCCGTACCATTGGTAGTGTTCTTGGTCAAAGTATTGCGCTTGATTACTATGTACGCCAGGTATGTATCTTATAAAGTTATATCCTTTTACTTTGTTTCTCCTTGATTGAAGGACCTCTAAGAACACCATTTGTTTCCAATTTTTAGGTTGATGGAATGGTTGCAGAATTTACTGACATTAATCGCGGAATGGAAAAAACTGGAACCTTTACGATGGAAAGGAAAAAACTGTTCCAGTTAGTGGGGAAGGCAAATTCTAATCTGGCCGATGTGATTCTGAAACTTGGACTTTTTGAAAGGTAACAGAGCAAAAAATATTGAAGGAAAAGTTTCTTAATTTGTTGATACAAAAAAAAAAGCACATTCAAAACTCTGTATTCTTTCCTGTCCTTGAAATAATTTTTATGAATAAAGTTATAGAGGACCAGCCTTGAAACACCAGAACGATATTTTCTGTTCTCTTCTTGTTTTTCTACAATAAAGGCACTGATTTTTCCAAAAAAATCTCCTCAAAATTCTCAATACTTTCAGAAAATAGACACTGAAGAATTCATTTTCTGAAAACTGGACCAGAAACAGCCTAGGTTTCTGATTGCTGTGGTGGTGGNTTGAAGTTTGTGGAGGTAGAGTATTCTGTTTGCTGGGGAGAACCTTCAGTTTCATACTTAACTAAATTGGAGTAGAGCTTTTAAATTCTAAAGGATCATTGTGGTGACCTTTTGATTTTTCATTGCAGCATAACATTCGGTTTCTTCAGGAGATTCTCCAGAATAGGAAATCAGACTTTTTGGAATGGCTCATTATAATACTGATAGGTGCTGAAATCCTCATATCTGTTTATGATATTGCCCATAAGTCCTCAATTACTTCTCTATAGCACTAGCTTCCAATATATTGAAATTTGGACCAAGTTCAGTTCTAATTTCATGCCTGAGTTTAATTTATTTTGTGCTACCGATTACACAAATTCTTTTTGGTCCTAGTAAATTTTGATTTGGAATATACTTTTGCAATTTATTGCATCAACATATAGTAGGTTTTTTTCTTTTTTTGCTTTGGTTATATGCCTTTGTTTCATCTTTTGAAGACAAAACATGCTTGCCTTTCTTAGCAATTCCTATTTTATGTAATGGTGAGAGGATTTTGCGTTAATGTTGAGGATGAATGAAAGCAAATCATGTTCTTTAGGGGTCAGGCAAGTTGGGCGGGTTAGAGAGTCAACCCAAGCCCAACCTGAGGTACAAAAACTCCAATTCTAACCCGATTTCAATCCTGAACTATTCAACTCGAGTATTGCCTGTTCAGGATCGAGTTGGGCTTGGGTTGGTTGAAAAGTCAATTGAGATTATAAAATAAAACAAAATTACTCACCAGTTCATAGATTTTGATTCAATAAAGCAATAGGAATAATTCAATAAATCTATCGAGGTACTAACAGATGTGTCTGTGTGTGTGTTCGACTCTGTTTGTGTGTGTGTGTGTGAGTCGTGAGACCAAGAGGGTGGGAGTGGAGNGAGGTACTAACAGATGTGTCTGTGTGTGTGTTCGACTCTGTTTGTGTGTGTGTGTGCGAGTCGTGAGACCAAGAGGGTGGGAGTGGAGAGAGATAGAGGTACCTAGGCGATGGCAAAGGAGCCATGGCAGAGAGAGGGAGACATGGCAAAGGCTTGACTATGTGTGTTCTACTGTCTTGTGTGTGTCATATGAGTAGTGGAGAGAGAGAGAAGACAGAAGACAACAACGAGACAAAGGCAGTGGCCAGATAAGATTCGGTGGCTTTTAGGGATTGAATTGGGAAGAAATGAGCTGATATATTAGGGATTTAGAGACTTTTATTATTGGAGCAATTTTATTGAGACATAATTTAGGAAAAGAATTTGGAGGTATAATGAGTTGTCACTAATAAATTGATAATGAAATGCATTTAATATTGCAATGAGACCCATTTTTTTTCCCATTATTAAATGAATTTTACTATCATCTATTGGTGACATTCATTATGTCTCTCAATTATATCTCTCAATTAAGTCCCAATAGCATTAGTGTTATTATAGACATATTATATTTTTAATTTTTTTTTATATTTTTGGGTTGAGTCCGATTTCATCATTTCGAATTAGATTCAGATTGTACTTATAAATCTGATACCTCAACCTGAGTACTGTTCAAATTGAATTCGGATTGGAGTTTTTTAGCCAAGCCCAACTTTTCACCCGTAGGACTTGTTTGAATAGATTTTTGGGAAGGGTTTAGATTGACTTTCCCAAACCCTTTCAAATCTAAACCCCTCTTTACAAATATGAAATTCAACATTGAATTCGGTTCATACCCATGTTTGGCATGTAACACATACACATGTAGAACCCACAGATATATCACAATTATTAACAATTATTTGTCTTGTAAATAACTATTTTGCCCCTTGATCAATTCAATTCATACTCATGTTAACGGGTACAATTGTCTTTTGCATCCTTAACCCCTTAATTCATCTTCTCAAATTTATCCCCTAAATTTAACGAAACACATGATTATGAATTTAATATTTCGGTCAATTACGAACTGGATTTAATAATTCAAAATTGAAATTTTATCCCAAATATGAGGTTTGGGGATCCGTTAAACTATTTTTTCTAAACCCCGAACACCAATTCTCCAAACTCACAAAACAAACAGGCCTAATGTTCTTGCATTGAGATGTTCATCTCTTCATAACCTTCTCTGACCACAGCTTGAAGATATAGAGGCCATGGGCTGAGTTCCGATTCTCAAAGTTTTAGTTTATTTTTTAAATCAATTAGCTGAAGTTACCCCCACATTTCACCTCATTTTATTGTGAATCATTTTATTTTAGGGGGGTGTGTGTGTCTTTAAGACGGCTATGACACTTCTCCTTATAAGGAGTTGTGTCGTAGTTTGTCTGTTTTAAAACTAGATAGACCACACAGAAAAGTTAAATAATAGGCTTTAAAATCCACTCCATCTAGGACTTTTTTCATTGTTTATTGACTTTTTTCTTTTACTTATTCTCTTATTAAGTGCGAGATAAAACTTAAATCGACGAAGTATTTATCTGTTTAAGTGATATATTGAGAGTTCAAGAATATCAAATTATAGTCATAACTCGTGTCTGAAGGCACGATGAAATATAAAATTCTAGCGTTCAAAAAATTGATCTCATTATATCAAATTTAAAATTAATTTCTTTACTTATATCATTTAAAATTAATTTTTACCTATTATTTTCTTAAAAATAGAATCAAAATTTTCTCAAAATACATAACTTGATAATTTTTTTTTAACAAGTGTACACTATTATATACGAATAATGTATGAAATAAAAATTGTGTTAAATTAAAAATTAACTAAATATTAAATAATTGAACATGCGATAGAATTGAGTGATTTTTTGGGATAAAATGTGTAAGGTATAAAAATTTAATTTATTAACTGATTTATTATATGGATCTATCACTTACTTGTCTCAATCTCCACAAATGGCAAAAACTTTATGCATTGTGAACAACTTTTTTTCCTCTTATTTAAATCCGGTGATGTCAAAAAGGATTGGGCTATGATACCCAAAAAATAAAAATCATTATTATATCTCTATTTATTATATTTGTAGTCATTTTTATCACATTTATGAGATTTTTTATCACTGTTGTGGTACTCCTAAAAATAGTTACAACAACAATAAAAATATCCACAAATGTGACAAAAATACTTATAAATGTAGTAAAAACATCCACAAATATGATAAAATTTTTTGTACCAAAGATAAGTGATAAAAATATTTAACACACGTGGTAAAAACACTTATAACAATTGTAAAAATACTAAAAAAAATAGTACATTTCTCACAAAAGTGATATTTTTTTGGTATAAAATGACCTACAAAAATTATTAAAACACTCATTAAAATGAAAAAAATTAGAGGTACGATACTAAATTTATTTATTCGGTACGTAGTCAAGTCCTCTCAAAAAAGAAGAAAAAAAATTGTGTCCACAAGGAAACCCATTCTTGTGAACCAAAACAAAAGCACAGTGGAATAAAGATTCAAAGCAGGATCTAAAAAGATGGAAGTGTACTTTTTTTTTTTGGCTTTTATAGAAACTGAGGTTCAAATTTGGGGACTATAAGATACCTGAAACCTAGGCTGGAAGCCACCTTGCAAGGTACTTACCATTCAACTTTTTATTAAAATCATTGGCAGTGAAGCAAAATGAGGCCACAGAAATAAGAATATATGAAAAAAGAGATAAGATACTGGCAAATTCTTTTTTACTCCCTTGTAGTTTGGGCTTGTTGCACTTTACCCCCTTGTTTTTTTAATAAACACTTAACCCCATTATGTTTTTGGATTGATATGAACAGACGACTACGTTAACAATATAAGCAAAAGCTCATATTACCCTCATCTTCTAAATTGATTTGTTACCGTCCCTCTCCCCTCTCCCCTAACCCAACAAACGAACCACCCTTAGTGCCATCACCCCAACTACTCACTGCCCACAACAACTACAATCCAACATCATCAAATTCAACATCAAAATTATCAAGAAGGTCATTCCAACTCAAGCTCTGCATATGGAAGCCTGTTTTTTTTTCATTGGAAAACAAATTTTCTTCAAACCCATTTTAATTCCAATTCAACTTTAATTCCAATTTTTTTCACTACAAATTAAACCCAATCAACAAATTGAATCACCTACAACCACAGTATCCATAACCACGCGCAGCACTTGCGACCACCAACCACTTGGTGAAAGAAAAATCAAAGTCAGAATTTCATTTCAAAATCGAAATCAAAATCAAATTTTATGTCGATTCTGATTTCATCTTCAAATTGTCACTGCACTCGTTTTGCTGAAGTGATGCACCAGGAAAATTGGTTTTACTAGATTGAAATTGTTATTCGTTGGAGTGGACCGGTGATTCGCCCGAGTGGACTTGTTTTGGCCATGAGAGGAAGAAGATGAGCATGGGGAGGATAGACATATGAGGGAGGGCAGATGGCGTATGTCATTTCAGGTCTGGCTCCTCTACGGTATGGG